CGCCGCGGCCGCCGAGGCTGCCGAAGATGAAAAGGCCGAGCAGGCCGACAAACGGCTGCCCGGTCGGCTACGACCCCTCACGCTCCCGGGAAACTCACCAGGGAGGTCGACCTGGGGACAGACAGGTCTTCTAAATCTTCGGGGGTCTCCAAGGCCCCCCCTCTGCCCATTTTCGGCTCCACTACAGCGGAGCTATGAGACAGGCGTCCGCCATCTTCCCTGCTACCACTTCTCTAGGATAGTCGCATACCACCTGCCAGGTGCAAATTTACCACAGGTGGTACGCGTACCACTAGTTGAAATACCCTGATCTAGAATGCCCCAGTTCAAGAGCCACTAAGAGGAAGTAAATTAACTCCATTATTCCTCTGCCACAATCCGCTTCTCAAATAACAACCAGATCATAAACACAGAGACCACCTGCCAGTCCTGATGATCGCTTACTGAAGGAACTAAAGGAGAAGTTAGAGACTGATGCCTGGTTCAAAGATAACAAATCTCTTTTAACCCTAAGGACTAGAAGGACTCTAAATTATACCTCCCAGATGGCTTCAGACTCCAAGCACTTCAGCGGAGTCATGATGCTAAGCAGGTGGGTCACTTTGGATTTTTGAAGACATTGCATCTGGTGCGGAGGCAATTCTGGTGGCCAGGAATGAAAAAAGACATTGAGAGTTATGTAAGAGTTGCGCCACCTGTGCTGCCATGAAGAGACGTCCTGGAAAACCCCCAGGATTGCTGCAACAAGTTGCTGATCCTTCCCAGCCTTGGGAGGAAATAGCCATCGATTTTATAGTGGAGTTGCCTGAGAGCAAGGGAAACACTGTAATGTGGACTGTGAGTGTTCTATTTTCCAAACAAGTGCATTTCATCACTTGCTCAGGACTTCCTTCTGCCCAGAAGCTAACCAAGATGTTTTTGAAACACGTATATTGACTCCATGGAGCCCCAAAGCAGATTATTTTTGACAGAAGGGTCCAGTTTACTGCAAAGTTCTGGAGGGAGTTCGTTAAACTGATTGGGTCCACCCAGAGGCTTTTATTGGTTTTTCATCCAAGTCCTAATGGAGGTGTTGAAAAAGCTAACGCAGTGGTGGAACAGTACCTCAGATGCTATGTAAATTACCAGCAGACTAATTGGGTTGACCTCCTGCCTTTCGCAGAGGTAGCCTACAATACTGTGCACAGTAGCACTGGACTCACCCATTTAAAATAGTAACAGGTTAAGATTTTGTGACTATACCTGAGTACCCCCAGGAGCCTCCTACTTCCCAGGCTTTGGATCAATGGGTAACATCCTTCCAGGAGGTTTGGGTGAATGTGAAGAAAGCTTTGACCAAGGCCACCAAGATTTACAAGGAGCAAGCAGATAAACGACGCTCCCCTTAGAAACCTTTTCATGTTGGGTAATTGGTTTATCTTTCAACAAAATATTTAAGGTTAAAGTTACCCAGCAGAAAAATGGGGCCAAAGTTCCTTGGTCCTTTTCCCATCACTAAGATCATAAACCCTGTTACATGGAATCAAAACTTCCGCAATTGTTGGGAAAAGTTCACCCTGTTTCATTGTAGTCTATTGAAACCTATGTCTGAATCCTCTTTAAGCCTATCCCAAAGAAGCCACCGGGTCCAGTAATGGTAGAGGGGGAGACACATTATGAAATAAAACAAATTCTTGATTCTAGGCTGCATGAGGGAAGGTTACAGTACCTCGTTCAATGGAAAGGCTACCTCCTGTCAGAAGCTACATGGGTGAAATGTACCAATGTGAAAGCAGATAGATTAATAAAAAAGTTCTACGATATCCTCACAAGCCTTGAGGAAATAACCTGCTTTTTGTTTCCCCTACAGGAGACTCTTTCTTTTTGAGAGGGGCCGACTGTCAACTCTATAAATGAGCATGGCTGCAGCCATTTTCCTTCTCATTCTAGGTTGCCACATAGAACGGAGGGAGGGGAGTTGCCCAGATGCTTCGTTAGTCAAAATAATATTTTGTCCTGTGGTAATCAAAGTCATCGGCTGTTCCCGAGACTAGGGACTGGGCATTGCATAAAAAGCCCGCCAAATAATCATATTGGGGAACATAGTTGCTTGCATAGTTTTTATGGGTGGGACATTTAACTTTGTATTGGAAAATTATTACTTGTGTATCCAGACTTGGTTTCACTCTTGACCCTGCCAATACTTTGTAACTAATAAACATGTCCTTTGAGGAATTTGTAAGCCTCAGAGTTCTGCTTTCTTCGTCTCTGTCAGAACCATGACATGCAGTGCTTAGAATGCAGTATTACAGGTTAACTCTGTCCACTGCCAGGGGTTTGATCCTGACCGGCTCAAGGTTGACTTGGCCTTCCATTCTTCCAAAGTTAGTAAAATAAGGATCTAGACTGTTGGGGCAATATGCTGATTCTGTAAACCACTGTAAAGCACTATGAAGCGGTATATACATCTAAGTACTATTGCTATATTGGCTGTGCTGCAGAATGTATGAACCGACTTCATATTTTCTTTCATACTCTGCTACTACTGAGATTTACAGTATTTCCACTTTGGTTTGTAATCTTTTTATTCTACTGGAAAACCATTTGAGGATTAGAAGCATATTTCTGTGTACTTTTTGCTTCTCCATTTATGAATTTGATTCAAATTGAATATAAGCCTACAATAATTGGAATTGCCAGTTTGGATAATGGTAGGGGATGGAAACCTTTTATACATATATAATTTTGAAGTGTTTCAATTAATAATTGATGATAGTTGAAATATTTCTAATGGTTTAGTAAGTTTTAAATAAATGTCTCAAAAGTTCATATGAAACCCTTTTTGTATATTCATGTCAATACCATCATGTTCCTGCAATCCACTCTAGCATAATGTTGCCAATTCTATATAAATCTCTAGTTTCTTCAGTTTTTTTAATATATAGTACAATTTTCTTCCTTTACTTCCTTATAAACATTTTAATAATGTTTTCAGGAGCAAGTTTTCATAAGGAAACTTGAAGACATAATGTAAAATGTAATAAACCTAAAATCATATCTTTATTGCAAACTTAATGCAGCAATCAGAAGCATCTTGGATCAGCCTAATAAATCAGCTAAAACTGATAAAAGGGAAGCTTAAAATTGAGCTGGTTATCTCTATATTTTATTTTATAATTACTTAATTGAAATAGTTATATATTAAAGTCTATGTTACTGTATATTGTGCATAAATACATAAACACATATAAATTATTAATCTATACAATATAAGTTTTTTTGAAACCTGCACCTCTCGATGTGTTGACTTCACAACTTCCAGGCTTTTATGCCATCATTATCAAAGTGGAGCTCAATATATAAAAATATATTAAAAACGTGGGGTTTGTAACACTTGTCTAAGGACAGCTGTTAATCTGAATCATCACTGCTGAAGTATGAGCTGTCACAATATTCTGCGGTGTAAAGAAATTTATGAAGTGTTGGATTCAGTTTTGGGATCCAGCTTCTTGGCACCAAGTAAGTTGAAAGATTGAACAAATCAACGAATACTTTATATCTGTCACTGAAAAAAAATGAAAAATATTAATGGTAATGGAATTCCATAGTAATTTATAGATAATAGTAAGCAGAACCTATAACACTAGACTCGATCCAAGCATCTAGTTCTAATGCTTAAGAGTTGGAAATGGTTACCTCAGGAAAAATGCAGCTAAAATATGATGAGCTTTCTAGTGATCCCAATGTTTCTTATAATAGCTTTAAAAGCAGTGCTTTTTTTCTAAAAAAAAAAAAAAAAAAAAAGGTGCCGGAACTCACACATGTCATACAACCCGCCTTGCCTACCCTACAAGGTTCCATCCAAAAAAGGTGCCGGAACTCCATTCTGGGCGTTCTATGACAAAAAAAGCCCTGTTTAAAAGGATATAAAAATTATATCCTTAGGTACAAACAAGTGTGGAAAGCCTTTCATCTAATGCTGACTAATATCAATAGACCAGAAAGAGACTGTTTGCAGTGAGGGGACACTGTGAGGGCAGACATCTTTATTTTTTTTCTTCTGGGAAGAACCTCCTATTGTCCAGAAGATTTCAACTTTTTTTGTCCCTTTATGGTGAGCATTAACAATTAAAAATGTTAGTTGGAATCAACTTGCTGGATTAGACTGAATTTTCCAGGGAAGCATTTTGCATTCTCTGTAGTAGCTATTCACCATGCAGATGATAATTGTGCTATGGGGATAATGATGATCTCTTATTGGTCATAATTTATCAAAAATTGTTTCTTTAATTAAGGGGCATTTTATATAAATGGCTAATTGTTATTATGACTGGGTATAATTAGAATTAATATTGTGGTATAATTAATATAGTTATGTTGGACAGTTCTACAACTCCATACAATTATGAATTGATTTGCATAATCAAAGCCTATAGGCAAAAATGATTGCTTTTTGTTCCCATAAGAAATACAGTTTATGTGCAAAAAGAGACCTTTTACAGTAATTCATATATATATATATATATATATATATATATATATATATATATATGTGTGTGTGTGTGTGTGTGTGTGTGTGTGTGTATATGTGTATATGTGTATATGTGTATATGTGTATATGTGTATATATATATATATATATATATATATATATATATATATATATATATATATATATACACAATATAGAAAAAATGAACACCAGGATAAAAATAAAACAAACCTGTTTAATACAAACAAGTTTGTAAGTAAAAGAGTTACCAAGCTTTCATCGGCCCGACTGCCGACGTCATCAGGGTTAGAATGCTAGGTGATTAGGAAGCTTGCCTATATAGCTACCTGTCTCTGCGCCTGGCTTCTCGAGCGCGTAATCGGCCCATTAGTTGTATTAATCTGCAACGTGCTAAGTTGATTCACATCCAGCAGCCTGTTGGTAGACCTAGTGGTTATGCCCAGATCCTCCATTAATACAACTAATGGGCCGATTACGCGCTTGAGAAGCCAGGTGCAGAGACAGGTAGCTATATAGGAGATATATATATATATATATATGTTTTCTGAGGTTTTCGCGGGTGTTTGTATGTAGGTCTTTAGTTATTCGGGTTTTCTCCCGCGTAGAATTAGAAGTGTCTTGGCGACATTTCGACGAAGTCACATTCGTCATCTTCAGGCTGGTGTCTTCAGCTTCGTGCTTCTGGGTGTAGTGTGTGTGATCGCAGCTGTTTCTTCCTTTTAACTGCCAGTGGGGTTTGAGCTGATTGGGTGGGGGCTTGGCTGTGTTCTGATTGGGTGGAGGTGTGTTCTGATTGGTTAAGGAGCTTGGCTGTACTCTGATTGGATGGGGGTTGGCTGTGCTCTGATTGGATGGGGGAGTGTTCTGTTTGGGTGGGGGCTTTGTTGTGCTCAGGTTAGTTTGAGTGGCAGGAGGATTTGAGATGGTGAGCTTCATTGCTGTTGTTTGGCTTCGTGGTCGTGGTCGTGCCACATCTTTATGGTGGGTGTCAGTTTGCTTCATGTATGGATTGGAGGAGTTTAAAGTGGCTAATGATGCAGCTGTGGACTGGCTTCTAGTTTGTGGTCGTGCCTCATCATCTGTGTGGGTTTGGGTTTGCTTTTTGCATGGATATGTGGTGGTGACATCCTGTGTGGTTTTCGTGAGTGTGGGTCTGGTGTCATTCTTTGTGTTAGGGATTCGTTTGCCAATAAGGGCGGGTTTCCAAATGGCTGGTAGGCGGGAGGTATCATCTCGTTTATTCATGCTGTGTGGGCGTTTTTCTATCTCGATGGCTTCTCTGATTATTCTGT